GGCCTGCCCCCTCACTTGGTGCTCCGGCATGTGGTGGGTGCCTATGTGGCGTGTGGCGGCGACCTGGGTCCCCGTGTGGGGGGTGGGTCCCCTCACACGGGGCCCAGAATGGAGTCTTCTTCAGGCTCCGCCCCTGCTGGGGCGGTGCCCTTTCAGCAGTTGTGCAGCGGGCTCGGCCCTTGCGTGGTGCTGCATGTGGGGAGCCTGCTCTCCGTGTCACAGCCCGACCGGGCTCTTTTACCGGTGGTGGGGCGGTACGCCCCACTCACCAGCGCAGCCGACCGAGGATGCGCCACGAGCCAAAAGGGTTCCCTTTTTTTTCCAGGGTCACTGAACAACTGAGTCTCAGTGGGGGATTCCTCACTCTTGGTACAGCCAGGGCTCCAGCTCCTGGCTTAGCCTCCCGAGCTGGCTGGCCAGGGCCCCAATGTCAGGTATGGCGGTGCTAGTCCAATGGTCCTTGGTTCGGGTTGACCAGGTTCCCCAGTAGTGCCCTTTTACTTTTCTGGGGGAGGGTTCCCCTACCAAAATAGACTACAGAAAAAAAGGTACCCTTATTCTAACCTCTCTACTGGAGGACCTAGTTGATGGCACCGCAATGATTCCGCAGGGCAACTGATCTCGGAATCTGACTGTGACAACGCTTCGGCTAGAGCTGACAGAGTTAATATCAGAACTGCCCGGCACAAGCTTTTCGTAAGTAGGTTGCGTGAGTGTGGCATGGCGTCTAGGCCTATGACATGCTGAGCGGGAGTCTGAAAGTCCAAAACCTGTTTGAAGCTGGTGTGCCTTACGCACTTCAAGGGAGACATGCATAGGAACTTGAGGTGAGATTTTGACATGACGCGCACGCACCCATCAAACTTATCGACTTCTTGGCATTCAGCCAGTCGCCTTCAGAGATGTAGCCGATTGCTGCTTTTTGCGTTTACGTCAAATTGATCATGGAACGGATATCTTGTGAGTGGGTTGGGCTTTATTTTGTTGAGTTTGCATATGACTATCAAATGAAGAGGCAGATTCGTGGGCCTTTGACTTGTAGTTTGTCAATTGCTACGTGGAAGTCAGCTGACCTTCCAACGTTTGCTTGCGAGACTTGCTGGCAAAACTTGCATGCAGAGGGATCGTTGAGTCTCATTGCTGAAGCCTAGCGTAGATTGTTCAAACGATATTGTAAGGTACAAGCCCTCTGGTGCCACATACCGGCCGCAATCACCACTTCAGAGGCTCCTTGCGTTTTCTCGCTGCCACGTGTTCCATGATGACCTGGACCTTGCCAGGGCGGCTCTGGTGCAGGAGTCTCCGGTGCAAAGTGGGACGGACGACCGACCTGAAGTTCAGTTGCCGTTTGGGCATTCAGCTTGGTTACGATCGGACAACTATCCAACCTTCTCTGTATCAATGGACCCGAAAAGATATTTCACTGCAAGCCACTTGGTCCCATGTTGGAAGGGCAGCAACAGCGTTGAGAAGCACGAACTGCAGCGCTTCGCGATTTTATATCCTTCCATCAAGAAGCCCAATTCAAGAGTTCAAAGGACACAAATAATACATAAACGTGTGCAAATCAGTGCCTGCCATTGATGACCAAAGTCTGCAGCAGTCTGAGATAGCTCGGGCCTGGCACATGGAATGCCGCTCGATGCAGGTACGCGCAAGGGCTAACACCAGTGAGCCTGAACAGCTAATGTCCAAGGTATCGGTTTTGGGCCGCTATCCCTTTTGCATGTTTTTGGGTACCGTTTCTTTGGGAGTCTCATCAGGGTACTTTTCAGGTTCTTCCAATTTGGTGGTTTGGATTGGCGGTTTGGTGGTCATTGGGCCCGGGTGGTTTCCCATTTACCCTCTACAAGAACAAGGGGCTCCAATCCCTAAACCACCAATCCAAGCCACCAATTGGACGGAAGCTGCTTTCAAAGTTGCAACGGGAATGCATAGCTTGCAGCGCTCAGGAGATGGTTCCTTGGTGGCCGCCTGATGCCCCAAAGCTATGCACCGAGACCTTCAGTTTCAATGGCAGCTTATCGACGACACATTCAAAGGTTGTGTATGTGTTGCTGCTGGAATGGATCGATTTTAGTCCGGTGCCGGTGGCAGGTCAATGCTCTTATGCGCATGTCCAGCTGCGCCGCAGCAGGTCACATCTGCTGTCAAGCTGTTTGAGATCGCCTGCAGAAAGTCTGGTCCAGAGAAAAAGATGGTTGTGGCAGCGGCCTTGGATACCGACAAATGGCTGTGGCTCAAAAAACCGGTACCAAAATGGAACCCTGGTAAGTGGAAACATGGACCAAAACCTGCGGTTTGCCCCTTTTGTTGAATTTTGAGCCACACCCACATATTGATGTGCCTTGCAAATGACCCAGGGAGCACCTACACTTGACTACACTGCGCATATTCTGGGCGGCTACTATTCTATCGCCAGTGAAGATCAGTTTGATGGCTCCATGTTTTTCCGACCTCACTCACTCCATGACTTGAACAGGCCAAAGAACAGCTTTCCAGTGTGCTGCATGCCAAACATCACGTTTTTGCAATTCCTTGGGCCAGATTTGTGGGGTTTTCAGCCGATTTTCTTTCTGCGATCGCGCTTGGCCCCTGGTTTGGCTCAGAGAGCACGCCATCAGAGCGGTGCCGGGCCGGGTCCTGAGAGAGACAGGCGCTGGCCATCGCTTGCGGTTTGACCGGTTTGGCTGATAGAGATCCTTTGTTCGAGACATAGGTGGCCAAGAGCTTGAATAAGGAACCCCCTGGAAAGTGGTTGGTGGACGTAAACCCCAGCAGAAGAGTCCTTTAAAATCATGCCCACGTTTTGACAGGCTGCACGTGTCATCCGTCCTTTTCAGGTAACCGACAGTTTATCGAATGGTGAGTCCGCGGTTCCCCACTCAATATACGCAAGTTTGTTTGGCGATGCCGCCAGCCTGCTGCAATTATTTGGTTCAGGCAAGGTCCGGGATTTGTGTTTGATGACCTTGAGGCAGAGACATGAGTGTGACAGTGGGCCAAAGTAGAAGCAAAGAAACAGATGTCCGGTCCGATCATGTGACTCATGTGCACTATGAGTTCCCCAAGTTTCTGAGATTTGAGGCTTACTTTCGGCTACTTGCCTGACAGGTTCTGAACGCCATGTTGCAAAGGGAGCAGAGAGCTGAGAGGCTTTGTTGAATCAGAGAAGCCCGCTGTGTTGGGGCGGACTGGTATTGAAAACTGTTTTGTTTACAGGGCTTTTGTAAAATGACCTGAATGCCCTCTCACCGGTGAAGTATGCACCTAATCAGTAAACAAGACTGCATTGAAATGAGGAGTGAGCTGCAAGAACAGGGAGTTGCTCAAGATAGCACCGGCTGTGATACAGCTACAAGGCTTGCAGACACCGCATGATAAAGGCATTGCACATGTTGTCCAAGACTGCAAAGCAGATACACTTGTCATGATACAACATACATTGGTATAAACATGCAAAAATAAACAAAACGAGGTATTGTTGACTTCTCAGCTTGACGTGTGAGTCCGACAGGAATGTGCAATCATAGATAACATAGGCCACTTTCAAAAATAGCAGAATATAGTCCAAAGACACGAGAAGAACGTATGCATTCGTAAACTTCTTGAGCTTCATTCGCACAAAGTATTCGCTCCGCCGCTGAGGTGTGTGCGATGAGCGGATTTCACAGATGGAATCGGGGTTCTTACACACAGCTCCTTACAAGCGCAACTTGTGCGAGATGCGTTTTTGGCGTTTTTGTCAAGCAAGGATGAATATTCGCACGAACCTACACTCGTTGATTGTTGAGCTTTTCAATTTGTATTTGATTGGTACAACGGTACAGCAACGATCTTGCCAACAAAACTCTTGCGAGTCAGCCAATCACCAGGCATGGTGCTTGCTAGAAAGAGAGCGCGATGATGCCCAAAAGCTCGAACAAATCTGCTTTTCCAGGTTGGGCATTGCCCACGACACCTTCCCGTATCTCTTTTTGTTTGTTCTTTTTTTTACACCAGATCATTCTCCCTATAGGGCTGAATTTCAGAGCAGAAACCAGCCACACTTTCAGAGAGAATTGGTTCCCGTGAGATCAAAGTTGCAAGAACCAGCGGAAGTCGCGTCGCACCAGCAAAGTCGAATTCGAATCGGCGGACACGTTGCTGGCTTCGGCCTGAGCGGGGAACTGGGGGGATGTGCGGCGTGAGATATTGCCTCCCGTTGCAATCAAAACTCGAGTAGATGAAGGTTAGTAAGGCCGGCGATCCCAAGCATAAATAGGTGCGGCCTTCTTCTTAATCCTTTGCCATGCTTCTGGGTTCACCATTTTTGTACCGGGTTTTGAGTATGACATCACCTCCCGTTGCCTTCAGCCCTTCGCCATGTGCTCAGTGAGCTTCTTCCAAATTCACGCCGGTGACCATTTTCTCTGAGCCCCACTGTTTGCTTGAGAATGTCCGACTGGCTCGTTTGCCAGGGGCAACTGAGAAGCACCAGGGTTCAAGTGGCTCCTTGAAAGTCAGTTGACCTTCCCGCCAGGTGTCAATGAAGAGCGCTGGGGATTGTACGGTTTGTACTGCCAGGCACACATGAAATGCACTCAGGCTTATTTGATCTCGACCCAACACTCATTTGCAGTAGCTTTCAATGCGTCGTTTCAAGGGTTGCCCTAGGTCTGCACACTGGCTACCATGATCAGCTGTGGAGTGGGTCCCCTCACATTTCGTGTCTGCAGGTTTGAGAGTGTCGACAAGGCCGCTTCCCTTGATACTGACATCTTTACACAGTCAAGCACGCGAATGGACTGCGCAGTCAAGTGTTTGCTCAAATCGCTTGATCTTGATAATGGGTTCACGCAGTGTTGGCTTCAGCAAAACATGTTGGCACGTACAGTATGTTGTGGGTGCGGAATTTTGAGTCGAATTGCAAACCTTTGGCTCAAGCTGTAGGCAATCAGCTAGCATCTGCTCGCTTTTCTGGTCTGGCGAGTTGCTTTCTGGGTGACATATTTTCCTCCATGTCCGTCCGGATCAGTACGGTTCAGGCAGGGGAAGGCTGAGTTCCTTCATCCGTGGTCCAAATTTGAAGAACAATGGCTTTCGGAACTGCCCAAATTTGTAAGCGGCTCGCTTGGCAGTGTTGGCGAAGCGTGTGCGTGTCAGCCTGTTTGACGCAGGGCATGTCTTGGAATTGACGCCCTCTCCTGGACAGCTTTCGCGACCATATTCAGAATGCACTAGCTGTGCAAGGTTCCGACTTTTACCAAAGTGAAGCAACAACATCCTTTGCACATCACTTGAGGGGGGGCATGAACCATCATTTGTTCATCACATCGAAACTGTCTGCTGCTGCAAATAGGTGTATCCTGTACCAGCAGGGTAGTTGTGCAAGCAACATGGTTTATGCATTTGCTCGGCGTCACATGCATTTTCCTTACAAGAGCAGTCATCATGAGTCGTCGTGAATATGTAATCTCGCATGGGGTCCTCAATCATTGTTTGCTCTACCCCGGTTGAGATTGGGTGTACATAACCAATCCACATCCCAATTTCAATTTCAATTGGGGGGTAGTGGTTTGGGAGTAGTGCAAAACCTCTTAGAGCTGCATATGCGAGCAAGTGATCATGACCATTTGGCCATTGCCCAGAAGTCCAGAGCGATATCACCATAAGATCCCTTGCTTTCAGCATATCGTTTGAGGCCAAAAGCATCTAACGACTCCATGCTTCAAGCAATCTATAATCTTGTTTGCGCAACAGTCAGACTCGACATGGTGTTGGCTGCAGATGGTCAGTCTTGCAATACACACACACACACATGCTTTTTGCGCATCATTATTTTGCACATGCTTTTTGTTTGGAGGTAAATAAATACAGAAAAGTACCAGCCAGCCATATATTGCACGTGGCTGGTCTCTCATGGTGTTCATGGGCCATGTGCCATGTCAGAGTTCTGTTTGAAGCAAATCGACGGCGGGCCTCGGTGGAAACCCAGCCTTCGGTTGCCGCGGAAATCAGGGCCAGCAGGATGCCGCGGTGCAAGAACTCGCTGATATCATGCAGGCGGGGGGAGTGGGAGAATTGTTTTTCCTCGCATGCTCAATGGTGCTGAGTGGGCCTCGGAGTTTTGTGTAGTCAGGTGACGAATTTGTTGATGTGTGTGTGTGTGTTTCAGTGTGTATGCGTGTGTATGTGTGTGTGTGTGGGTTGTCCCCCCCAGGTCTATCCAAGTACTCCTTTGCCAGGCTATGAAAACCATTTTGGTGCAACAAAATGGTAGAAAATGCCATCGAAGGCTACACTGTGTTTGTTGTTTGATTCTTCGGCGCAAGCTGATTCTCACTCAAAGCCCTTAAGATCCATAGAGTTTCAAAGCGCGACCGAAACCCAAATTGCAGGAGTTCATCCCCACTGCAGGTACCACGCAGCATTTCCATGAGATTCACCTACACGGACATGTGCGATGTGTCATTTGCGAAGCGGTAGCTGTTTATTTTTCAGGGTTGTGGGTGACGCCACGTCGTCTTGATGCAATGCTCTAATTTGCTCTTTAAGTGAATTGCAGGTGCCGTGCGTTCTCTGTTGCAGAAGGAAACACGCAGTCACAACAAACTGATAATTCAGGAGAGTGATAAGCGATGAGAGCCTGCTTCATTGTTAAAGAGCTGCACCTGATCCAGATCAGTCAATACTCCTGCAGAAAGCACCAAATGCCACAGCAACCAATCTGAATGTGACTATTTTATCTTGTGTCTGTTCAAAAGTGCAATTTGTAGCCATTCATTCACCTTGCAATCTCCGGCACTCTGTCTTCGCACAGCTGATGTCTTGCAGCACTATTGGGCAGGGATGTGCAAAACCTTCTGGAAACTTATGAACCCCGCAGCATTGCCAACTCACTTGGTGTTTGAGCACGTTTACCCGTGAAAGGTGGCCATTTAACAAGGTGCCAACTTCGTTTCGTGATCGATGCTTTCGCTGGTTTTCCCGTGGCAGGTTGCCACTTCTCTTATGGAGCTTGATCTTAATATTTCTGGTCAGCTGACCATGGCTAGCCGACTTGTCCCATATGCGACATTGAAACAACATGTTTTTCAGGGGTTTTCACCATTGTGCCATCCCAATGTAAAGGACCTCGAAATTTCACCCCCCATATCCTTGCTGCAGGGTTTCAACTCTTCGTTTACTATTTGCTCAAGCCACCGCCAGTTTCACACTGGAATCATTGCTACCGCTCGCGGGAGTTGAACTCAGCCGGGGGAAGTGAAGCCACTCGGCCCTGATGTTGTCGAGAGGTCCAATCCGATTCGGCCCATGAGCTTTGAACCCCACGGCATGCATTCACTTGAAGCCAAAGGACAATTTGTTTTTGCTCGCTTTTTTGGAAACCTCCAAATTTTGGGGTTGTCTATTTTTACTTCCCCACTTGTATTTGTGCTTTTCTCGAGCTCTTTTTGGAGTGTTCACCTGTTCCTGCCTAGTGCGACATGGGCCCGGATCGCCCTCGGCTAGGAAATGGCCAAGCGTTTGGAAGAGCAGGATGCCAGGCCGCGCTGTGAGCAGCTTGGGGCTTCAAACAGAAACCATTTCGGGGAGGTGTTGAACCATTTGATGGGGCAGCCCCAAAATGGACCTCGGCTTTCCTTTGCTCCTCAAATGGCGGTATTCCTTTGATTTTCCTCTAACACACCAGCAACAAGGGTACACACACAAATGAAGAGTGAGGGAGAAGAAGAAGCTCTGGATGTTAATGCATTTGTCAAGCAGCGAGACGAGTTACGCACTGTGCCACTTGCTGCATGTGTGTTGATAGAATAGAGAATGCAAAGTTGGCCACGTTGGCCCCTATTCTGCCATCATGCTGGCTGTTCGCGCATTTGCCAAATCAAGGTTGGTAATGCGCTTCACGTGCTGATCTGGCTTTGGGATTCCATACTTTTCCACCAACCATCAAGAGATTCGGCTGGAGAAATCACGCGATTCAGAGCGTGATGTGTCCTGGGCCGCCGTCAACGACCTGGATTATCTTTTCAGTGGAATAATTACACAGCATGTTTACAAAGCAAGGAGCCTTGTGCAGTCACTCGTTGTCCACAAATCAGCCCCCAGCTGTGAGCCCCAAATGGTACATTTTTGAGCTTGCAGGCTTGGTCTTGCGCATTTCGGAGTTCAGCATGCTGGCTGGAGAGCCTTTTTTTATATCAATCTGCTTGTGAGCAACAGGCCCCAGCAATGTGACGATCAGCGCAGGCAGAAGAACCACCAGCGCGACTATACCATGGAAGTGGGCGCAATGAAACGCCGTATGGAGGCGCACATGTTGTTGAGGGTGCTATTCTGAGTTTGTGCCTAAGCTTCGAGAGAGGGTGATGCTGGCAATCCCTCCCCCCATCTGGAAATTAATTCACTTTCCAACGCCGGCTGCGGGGCAACCGTTTTGCATCGAAGCAATAGCGCGCGATGGTGAATCCAAAGCCGCGTGAGCGGGTTTGAAGAAATCCGTAGATCGCCAGTTGGGCAATTCGGGCCAGCCATCTAGTGATGTCCTTCCCGAGATTCGCCTGGAAGCTTTGGATCCGGATCCAATGGCTTTGAGCGGCCCAGGATATGCTGCAGAGCAGCCTACGGGACTGCAGGACCATCCGCGAGGAGCGGGGTGTCCCCTCCAGTGGTTTGATTCCCCAAACGCAGAATTGGACACCCCCCCTAAACTGGGGTTGGTGAAGATAGGGGCAACGTTATGATCAGATTGACACCGGCAAATTGGCATAGAACCATCTAAAACACATCTAACCTGGCATGAATCAACGAATCCGGTTTGCCTTACAAGGTCATTTGTTGGCAAATCTGCTCGGCCTGAGGCTGCATGATTGCCAAGGCAGGAGGATCCAATATGGCCGCACCGATGTGTTCCACCTCCATGCACCGATTTGCGTCTTGCTTTTGAGATATACAGCACCACATCGGGCAATGGTGGAATTGCCAAACCCGAAGGGTGCATGATTGGCTTTCTTTTGATTATTTGAGCACCTATCGAAGGTCCCTAACTCAAAAACACATTGATGCAAGCAGTCAACAGCCTGAACCTTTGGCAAGCCACTTGACGATGGAGCGAACACTTTGATGTTCATGTCGTTTCGGCTGCAGATTCGCTTCCACCGAAGCCCAAGCACGCCAGTCCAGGAGTACGACACAGCCGTTGACAGTCTTGGGAACCTTATGGAGGATGTGGCGCGGCGAGTGACCAAAGCAGTCCAGCACTACGAGGAGCGATTGGGCGAGGTTGGTTCCCTGGGGCTGACAAAGAACGACATGACCGGCCGAAATTTGTTGTCCAACGGCTGCTGCTATACCTGGCAGGTTTTGAGTCACTTCTCTCAATCGTCGGACAGGAAGCACATTGCCGTACCTGACGCAGCCCTGTTGTTCATAGGCAAAAAGAGATCGAATGGCGGTCCCCGCAATGGGTCGTAGAGCACAAACTCGAGGTTTAGCAACGAAGTGGCGCCACGCTAAAGTTGGGACACGGCAGAAACTGAGAACTCTTTGACACTTTGTCGACGATGGCCTGAACACATCATGATTTCCACCGACCTTTTGCAAGAGACTGTGAAGGAAGCTTGTGACATGTTGCATCTTGGAAACTATTACAACAAAAACCAATGCAAGCCAAAGACACATTCAACTGACTAGTCCAACGCCTGAAACGGCCGAAAGGCGCTTGACGAATATAATATGGGGGTTGATCAAAAGGTCCGGCAAACATGGGAAGTCCATTTGGGAAAACCACTACACAGATGATATTTCCCACTAAATGGGAGCAGCTACCAACGGTATACATTGGTCATTTGGGGGCCGAACGCCCATACATGTCTGACTCAGTGCCTTGAACTTCGGTCGGAGCTTTTTTTCCTTCGCTGGCGCCTTCTGGGTGACTCGGGGAGAAGAGCCTTCGGGTTAGGAGCGCTTCTCATGCGACCTGGACAAGTTGCGCCGGAAGCCCCAGGAACCGCCTTCCCTTTAGCACTCATGTGCATCCTAGGGTTTTTTTTGCCATGGCCCATGCGTGAAACAAGGGGGGTTAGCTGTTAGCTATGGGGCAAGGCAGAATTTGCAAGAGATTGTACCGGATGTTGCAAGCGCTTGACATTCCAGGTATGGGGTTGTGCGCTATGGTTCTTCATTTCCACAGGGACGTACTCAAAAGTTCCAGAGGCGCTGCTCAGTTCTTCACTGCCAGGCATCCGTTGTGCAAACAGGCTCAAACGACCGTGGGGATGTCTTTATGTTGATGCTCGGGTTTGGCTGGCATCATTTCGACTCTGGACAAACAGGAAAAAGCCTGCGAGGACTGCTATTGGTTCATGCGTCCACGTGAATTCCCTGTCATAGCTGCAGATCCGCACAAAAGATTCAGGACTTTCGGAGTAAGAATGAGAGTGGGGCTTGCCACGGACCTTTATCAGTGTCATTGCCTTGGCTCGATCAGATCGGGAGCCGATCATGTTCCCCCTATTGCAGGCAACACCCACATCTTTGTGTCGTTGTTGTCAGTGTTCACTTATTGGTCTAGAAAACCAACCACGACGGCTTCCCTGATTACAACCGTGTTGATTCATCGGAGGTGTCTGAAGGTGCACCAGCAAGACCACGACATTGCTTGTTCGACGACCACCAGGTTTGTGTTCAATCAGCAACTGAAACCACCGAGTTTAGCCGGGTGTAACTGCTCAAAGTTTCGACTCAAAAGCTACCTCCGTTTGCGCGCCACCTCCTGAGACTTTGTGGTTCAATCCATCGGTCTTGCGCAGTGCCATGCGATTGGTACGGCGATTGGCGTTAACGGCTTCGAAGCCAAAGCCGAGCCGTGCGCGCTGGAATCAACACTGAGGGTCTTCAGACAGTTAAGGGCAAAGCTGGCATGGGTAAGGAAAGATATATATATATATATATATCCAAAAAGCTGTGTTGATTGCTTCTAGAGTATCAACGCTTTAAGGCCAAGTCAAGATTACAGAATGAGCGGCAGCTGCTCACGTTACTTTCGTCACACTCCTCCAACGACCTGCTTCTTTGGCTTCCTCTACCTGGCCGAACCGCTTATGCATCATACTCGTACGCAGCTTCTCCACGTCTTAATCTTCCGGCAGGTTGTCTGAAAAGAATGGCTCGGACGCCGGAGTGGGTTTAAATACCAACAAAAGAGTGCCTTTTTCCCCATGACCACTGGGGGTCTGGGAAATGAGACCCTTTGCGGAGAGCTTTCCATTCGTTTTGTTTTTTTCATTCGGGTATGCAGCTTCTCCACTTCTGATTTCCCGATTTCTGGGGGTTGTCTGAAAAAACATCTCGGACACCGTGTTTTCGTTTTTGTCAGGTGAGCACGTGGATAAGTCGTTGAGCACCCACGGGGCAGTGCTCTCCCAGAAGATCGACGCAGCCATGGCGGCCATGGAGACCCGCACGGTGCAGGATCGATCCGTCGACTTGGTGGATGCGGCGCAAACCGAGGGCTTCTCAACCGGAAACCAAGGACCACCCCCCAAAACCCCCTCATGGCTGGCAAACAACCCCAAAACAGCCATTGGGACCATTGGGAGGTCATTCCACAGACCTTTTGCCAGCCATTGGGGGGTCCTGGTCTGGGGAAACGGAGAACAAGTTCCAATGCGCATTGGCATTGTGGCGGAAAGGTTTGCTGCATGCTTGTGTGTTTGTTGTTCCGTTTCCAGAAGTAATTTTCTATAGACCCACCGTGAATTGCGAGGGGCTGGAAAACAACACTGCTGGAGCAAGCTCAAAGGAGGTTGCAGACAGGCTTCTTGAGTAGGAGCAAGCTTCTTATCCATGACAGAGGGCTAGCTCCAGGTGTTCCGCTTGGCCAGTTCGGGATGTACGTTTTTTCTTCTGCGACTCAGACGCCCAAAATGTGGAGGGCCTTCACGAAGCCCGGTCCAGCCCAGGGAGTGCTCCCCTTGTGACCCTTGAGCCCCAGCAGATGCGGCTCTTTTGACTCGTTTTTCAGAGTTGGCTCAAAGCAGGGGGATCCCCATGGCTCGTTTTCCGTTGGTTTTCCCTTTGGTACCCTTAAAAAAGGACACGCATCGGAATGGCGTCGAGACAGCGCGATGCTTAAGCGTCGAAGGTGTGCGCGAAGGTTAGTACTGTTTGCGGTTTGTTGTTGAATGCGGCTCCTAGCTACGACACCACTTCACAAATACTGCTGCGACCAACTATCACTTGAAGGATGCTTGCCAGGTGCACAATTCTGCTGAAGAAGAGAGCGCTGTTGAGGGGCATATCACGCTGCTAATGCTTGTGCTATAGACATATCTCTAGATTTACGCAGATTTGTGCAGTCTCCTTGTTGATCAAGGCGAACCAGCACGACCTCAGACACAACAGCATCCTGTTTAGCACAGGCATCCACATGGAACCATCAGATTCGCGCTAAACTTTTTGGGCAGCACAGTGACAAGTGAATACAAATAGGTGTTTGCTACCCAGCCCTTCCTGAAGTACCAAATGCCAATTAAAAGTCAGTTGTTGGATGCTGCTCAGTGTGGGCTGTTGACCGACAAATAAGTCGTGCTACTCGAGGCTTCCGATTTGTCTCACAGGCTGGCTCAGTGTGATGGCAGGCTAAGAGGCGGATTGCACACTGAACACATTGGATGAGTACAGGAGTCTGCACCTGATTCGAGTCACCCATGTTTTGTTCCAGCGCCCGCTTTTGAGCCAATTTGCTGCAGGCTGCCAGAGTTGTCTTTCAGAACCTCTATAGGCAGCATGCAGCGGCAGTCGCAGATGAAAGCTGCCAGTCTGTTTGCCAAGCGTGATCGAAGTCCGAGAAATGGCCAATCGGAGCCGTAAACTTGCTATGGCGCACATGTTTTCTTCCGCATCCGATCACCCCTTTTAAATTTGGAAGGGCTGGTGCCTCTGATTTTGTTGAACCGTCTCTCCATTCGCCAGGAAATGGATCGCGAAGGACTGGGTATGGGCATGCGTGTTTCTCAAAGCCCGTGAAGTGTGCAAATATGTGAAGTTAAATGGCACAGTTCCTTCGTTTGGTTTAGTCGTCCCCCTTTATCCAAAAGGGAATTGTGCCATCTACTTCTCACCGAGGCTTTATTGAAAACTCACAGACTTTGTGTGCTGTATGTATGCCATCTTCAAGGCATGGCAGTGGCCACTCGTGGTGAGGAGGATAATATGGGCAGCCCACTTATTTGCTCCCCACCACAATCAGGGGCCACCAAGTTGCCCCAGGACGGACTTGTGATTTTGTCATTTCACTTGCGCTTGTATTGGAGGCTTCACCAATATGATCATCGCAGGTTTTGCCAAGTCAGAAATTTCCAAGTATACTTGGTGCGCTACACCTGTACTGAAACGTCGCGATGTTCGAGTACAAAAGTGCACTTGCCACTTAGTGTACAACTCTTGTACGAACAAGCTGCTCGGATATATTTAAGGAGCCGCCGCGCAAGAGTCGTGAAAGGGCTGTTGCAAAATACGCCCCTGCGAAATGCAAACACAGGCGCACAAAAGCCTTGCGCAGGCTCGGCCAAGGGGGATGAGGGTACCCAAGTTCCCGAGCAATTTTTAGCTCAGTGGGTACGTGTCAACATAGTTCAAAAAAAAAGGGAGACTCCAAAGAGAAGGGCGGCTTCCCTTTGGTTTCCCTCCCAAAAACGGGTATACCCTAAAACACACGTACACAAAAACACCTGGGTGTTTCTCCAAATACAGGACCCACAGCCCAAATGGGCTGATTCCTTGGTTTCGCTTCATACCAAGTCACGCTTCAGACTCTGAAGACGGGGCGACGGGCAGCGCTTCCACCAAGCTGGCGCCGAATAACCCGGAGGTGATGCGCCCGGGGTCCCGAGGCGGGAAAAATGAGACTGCTGAAGATTGATTCCACTCATTTGGCCATGAACTTTTAGCAGGGAACAACCTCAAAAGTCATGGACATGAACCCTTCGCCATGAGTTGGTTTGTTGATGGCGGGATGGGCTATGAGGCCGGTTTGCTGTGCGAAAGCAACTGCACTGAAGCTTGTCGAGGAGCTTGCAAGCCCAGTTAATGGTAGCAATCAAGCTAATACGAAATCTTCAGAACAGCCGGGGAAGCCTCTGCCACTGGAGTAATGCGCTTCTGAAAGGTGAAGGAACTTGACGACCCGTGTCCATGCTAACAGAACAAGCGATTCGGAGTTATCCCATTGCCAAGTCTGCGGTGACCTCTTCCGGTCTCAGCTATCAAGAGTCAGGTCACATAGCATAACACGGCCTCACGACAACTGTGTCCGGCCGTGCCCTTTGTCAATGTTGCTTGCTTCAAACACACTAATGACAATGATAAGCGCGCGACAGCATTCAGTTCCATTGACATCAACATTTTCAGTTAGGGACTGAGGGAGGGACTATGTTTGTCAAGTTAAGCCAACAAAGTCACGTCAATCTGCAGATCAATCAGGCTGTCCATCAGGCACTCAGTCAGTTGATAAAAATGCTTCCTACAGTACATTGAAGTCAATGAACAGTCGCGTTGCTGTTCTTGTGTCCTTCAATGTTGGTGAGTCGTATGTGTGCAATGATCGAAAAACCCTTTGCTTGGGGTTCACAGGGATGGTCATCCACGTGGCAAGGATCCTTAACCATGATTCCTGCCATGATCATGGGCCAAAGAAACGGAGTTTGACCATGTGGGTTATCAAAGCCAGAAACTGGGGTGGTTTTAATCAATTGACCTACCACTTGGGGTGTGACCTTGATACTGGTCGCAAAATGGCGGATGTGTTCTTCTTTCTTAGGAACCTGATATCAGGTACGCCCTTGGAGTGGTTTGGATTGGTGATTTGGGCTTTGAAGCCCTGGTTCTTGTAGAGGGTAAATTGGGGAACCCCCCAGATGTCACCACGAAACCCGCTCCACACCACCCTCCAAACCACCCTTTGGGTCTGGTTTCCCAGGTCGGGTGGAGTCCATCGGCCATATGCTGCGTGCGGAGGCAGCGGGGGCATGGGCGGCCCGTCGTTCGTAAGGTTGGACCCCCAAAATGGCACAGCGGTGGTCCTGTTGGTTTCAACCTTGAACAACACAGAAAAGGGGTACTGTCAAAGCAAACACGCACACGCACACACACACACAAACAGCCGTCCTTTGTAAGGTTGGGTGAGTTTTCGCGTTAGATTCCGCTTGCCACCAATGAGGCATCGAGCGCCTAGCAAATCTGTCAGATATATTTTGGCGGACCCCTGATCATTGAAGGCTCCAAGGACATCAATGCATATCACTTAGCGCTAAGTACAAGGCCTGAGGTTGGGGGTTATCACGGTCACCCTATTAAGTATACCTCATGTCATGGAGAGACCATCTGGGTTGCTTCACAATAGAAAACCCCTCCGAGCAGGTGGTTTCCTACTGGTTTCCCTTCACACCAACCCCGAAAACAATTACCCTCAAAAAGAAGACACCCCCATAGCATAGCTTTGTCTCTATTTTGGGGGTTACCCATGGCCTTTTTTGTCTTTTCTCTTTTCTCCTTCAACCTAAACAACTCGAACTTATTTCCCACCTTCTTCTATTTCTCCCTAAAAAATCAAAACAAGAGGTGTCTCTGGCTTCCTTCCGCTTGCGACTCATGGCCGGTTCCCATCCCCCCCCTCTCCCTCCCGAACGCGACCCACGTCCGACTCGTCCGAACCGGCCGACCCGGCCGCCGAATCCGCCGACGCCGGGCCGACTCGGCGAGCCGCGAGGCGCTGGCGCAGAGCCAGGCCTTCGAGGCCAAGTTGGCCTCGGTGGAGGCCAGCCACTCCGCGGAGTCCAAGAGGCGCAACGAAACGACGCGAGGACGCGACGCGACGCGGGAGAAGGGCCCGCGGCCGCACGGCCGGGTGGATGGATGGCTGGAGGTTCTTTTCCTTTTTTAAACAAAGCAACGAAGTGGTTTTCTTTGTTTTCCTCCAAGTTTTGTTGTTGTTTTTTGTTCCTCCGGGGCCGTCTGAGTGACAATATCAAAACCCGGGTAAAATATTGGAGGGTGAGGGACAATTTCCAGCCATTCATGGTTGCAGCCGCCTTTTCATTTCTAAACATGGTTCTGGGTTCACCATTTTTGTACCTGGTTGTGATTATGTCTCTTGTATTTTGTGCTTCGAATGTGCCTTATGTAAATATCGATCTAGAGGTGCAATATTATTGTTTTCAAACGTGAGTGGTGCTTCCTGAGTGTTTCCGAGTTGTGCGATAGATGTGAGTCAGGCAACCCTTAGTTGGTGGTTTGGATTGGTGGTTTGGGATTTGAACCCCTGGCTTTTGGAGAAGGTAAATGGAAACGCCCCCCTTAGCTACCAAACCACCAATCCAAACCACCAATTAGAGGGAAGCTGAGTGAGATGGGTGGAGTTGCAAGGGATTGCGGGCAATGTGTTGTGGATTCCTGTGGAATGGGTACGAGTTTGTGGCAGCGGCGAACGCGACACAGCCATGCCTGTGTTGAGGTGGAATGTCATTGTTTCAGCGACGGGACTGCTGGTGCCTTTTTGCCTCATCATTTGGTTTGCTTGGCCGCCGCTTGTGGTCGAACGCATGTTGCGTCTCGCAGTGGTGTATCAGAACGGATGTCTCCGAGTTGCACAGGTTGCAGGGCATGCTGTCCTCGTCCTTTTCTCAACTGCAGGCACGCACCGAGAGAGCCGCGGGATCTTTGCGGGTGAACGAGATTCGGGTTGCTTGTGTTTGTTTTCCCAGTGATCCTTTGTTTTCTCATGAATGCCACTTGGATTCGACGGTCTTGTCAATGTGAGGAAACTGCGGCACTAACCTTTTCAATTTATTTTTGTATTCACCCTGGCTTGGGTGTGTTGGCGAATTTCTCAAGAAACTCAGCATACCTCAAACTGGGGAGGGGTGCATGCCTTTTTCCCTTGGTGAGCGATTTGCTTTCGCTTGCAAGCATATTCCAAAGCTCGGACGTCATTTGAACATGCAATTTTTGTTCTCGTCGCATAATTTCATGCATCACCGTGCCCTTGACATATTTGGGGACGCCCAGTCCCCATAGAGGCACGCCCGAAGTTGAGCTCTGTGTTCTGGGCCTCGCATTCACGCCTCGTGTAATGTTTAGTTCATTTGAGCTTTGGATGAGGCACTCCATTTCTTGAGGAGAGAGCTCTCTGCAAGACGAATCAGAATTGAAGGCCTTGCGCCATGTCGCTGTGAACCGAATCGCCCATTCTTCACGGTTGCGCGCCTTTTCGTTTGGGACTGCTCAGGGCTTGCAGCGCTCCATCAGCCAGTTGGAGTGCGGCCTGGCGAGCGCCAGCTCCCCGCCACCTCATTTGGAGGCGACTCGTGCGGAAGGTTTGACCAGAGCTCACTGCAAGACACACCGAACCCATAACCTGACTCCCGGACACAAAATGGTTTTGTGGAATATACCCAGAGCTCTGGTCAAAGTGGGGTTTCTCCAGATTCTCTCGCATGCCTGACCGACCCGGCCAGAACATGCTGGCATCCTTCTCCACCGGCCAGTTGGGCGCCAGCCCCACCATGTCCAAGAGCCCCAGTTCTCTGGGTGAGAAGCCTGACAAGACGCCAGGTCCCCAGCCGAGCGGTGAAGCGAGTCCGAAATTGGTTCAACAGCACAGCGACTCAACACGCGGTTGCAGCCGGTGACGCATTGGCATACATGGAAGTTTTTGTTGGTCAGTGATCAACTGCGCTGTCTGAATCATATATTTGCTACGCTGCCCAGTCTAATACGCATTTGGTGAAGGCTGCTTAGGAAAGGCAACCTGCTTGGTCGATCCTATCCGCACGAAGCAGGATTGAGCAGGCAAAAGTAGGAGTTCGCTGAACACGTTAGAACTACCCAGTCGAGCGGGGCTCCAGCAACACGGCTTCCAGGCCTCGTTGTTCCTGCGTCGAACGCAGCAATTAACGCGCCAAATAGCTGCAGGTCCTGTCCGGCGTCAAGTCAGGAAACCGCTGGTTTATGTAAAAGTGGCGTGCCCTGCACTCGGCAGTTACTTGACCTTATGAACCTTGGCAGGCCAAACTCACCTCGTCGCATTGGTGCATCCGACCATATCACCACAAAGGTGGGGCCACGGATCGTCCAGATTTTTTAAAACCTTCGGCCGCGCATTGCGGAGATGGCAGCCGTGGATGGTCTTTGTCACACCCAGAAGTTTCTTGAGCTTGACTCCTTTGTGCAAGGGAGCAAGTTTGACACGATGGGTGTCGCCCTGGCTGTGATGTTGTACGCGCAGCTGCGACAGCAAGACCTGGCAACTTGCCTCTTTGTTGCAGACCTCAAACAAGACAGCCAGCCGAACCGTCATCCTGACAACTTGTTTTTTTGGGTGGAGTTGTGCCAGCCGAATGGAGTTTGCTCCTGGATTTCTTCGGCATGGACGCCGCTGCGACCCTCAGCGCAATCTCGGACGCCCTTCTTGCAGGCTCAAATCCAGGGCAGGGAGTTCGCGCGGCTTTTGTGCGCCTTCAAGCTATCCTCACGAGCGCCAACCGTGCGCCTGTATTGAACTTTTGCCTTGTGTATGAATCACATACACGACCGCGCACTAGGCACCTTGCTCAAGGAAAATGATTTGCGCCCATAGGGGTTTTCCTTAGTTTGGTAGCGGAGCTCTGCTCCTGCGCCGCAGCGATAGCGGACTTTGATGCGGGCACTGGCTTTCACCTCTTTCACCTCGACGAGCTGAACGTCGAGCCGCACAGATCGCCTTTGAGGCGACGCTCTCACTTGGAGAAGCTTTTTGGCTTGATCACGTTTATCCTGACCTCGACCTTCGGCATTTGCTTGGCCCTAACGCATCAGACCCAGGCGATGGCAGCTGGACCACCCGGCTCGGGATCCCACTCTCGGAGTACAAGCGGGATGTTGCCGGAGTACGTGCTGAAGCTGTTCTCCGCACGCCTCCGGATGTGGCATCGGCTGTATGATGGAGCCGTTGAGACCGTGGGGCCACTAGTGGCTGGAAGGCTTCAGGCAGAGCACAGAAGATAGCTCTAGACCTTCGCCTGGCACATGGGGAACTATGACGTGGGAGATGCCGCGCGGGTGAGACTCTTGGTCGACGAGGTGCGGGGTCCGAACAGTCCCCTGACCCTGGTGGTCATCCACGCGATCCCGTCAGGGCAGAGCAGGTCCTCGCCACCAAGGCTTTGGAAAGCTTCTTCGAGTTCCGCCGTGCACGCCTGTCGCTGCAGGTTGAGCAGGAACCTCAAGTTGGAAGAGGCCATCGTCATGGTCATGGGCAATGTGGCCAAGACCTACCTGTACTCTCGGGGCCTCTCAGCCTTCGGAAGCAGGTGGAGGACATCATGCTCCAGCTGCATGGAGACCTGAGTCGATTCGACGAAGCTCGAGGAGATCAGATACGAACTACTACGACATCTCCCATGAAGATGGGGCCACCCAGCGAAAGAAATACTGGACCCAAGATGACGAGGGCTGGAACCCGGACTTCGACAGGACTGGTGGATTGGAATAGCTCAGGAAACTACTCCAACGGAGATGCCCAGGAGATCCTCATGAACAACCAGCACAAGACGCTGAAGGATACTTCAAGACCAAGCACAAAGGTCTGATAAGCCTGGCCTGCTGCATGGTCTGTGGATCGAAGTGGCGCTCTGCCGCGACCTGCTGGCGGTCAAGAGTCATGGTATGGCTACTTCCGGCCCCATGGCAAAGGCAAGTCCAAAGGTTTTGGCAAATTTGAGTGCCGCAACGGCAGGGCGAAAGAAAAGGCAAGACGGGCAAGTACTTTGCCGACTACAGCGACTGGTGCGCAGGCAACGACAGCAGCTGTATCATGCCCGACAAGGACTCCCTCTCTCCTACCACACTGTGAGAGCCAAGACCGCAGAGGTCTGCTGGTGGACCTTTGGCTAGGTAGTGAGTGAGACACTTCGGGACATCATGGATCATTGCTTACTCTCCGAACTCAGCTGGAAGGGCAAGAGCTCCACAGTGGGCAACGAAGCTAATGAAGCTAGGCAGCGGGTTTTGACTGGATCCTGACTGGAACAAGTGCCACATAACATGCTCCCTAGAAAAACCATCCTTGAGCTGAACCAACATGCCCGCCGCACCCCGCACCTTGGCTTCCAGAACTCGGCTCTTGAATCACAAAAAAGGGTCGATCAAAAAATGACCCCTATCAACCAGTATTCGGTCTCTTTTGGGGGGGGGGGGGCTTTTGCGCGTTCAAAACGTGCAATTGCTTGTACCCTAAAACATTTGAATTATTCTGTTGGTGTTTTGACTTGGCACTGTTGGTTCAAGATTGAGACCCCTTTTGATGCGTAGTGACCTCACGACTTTGCCGGATTTGGGGACATTGGGTTTCCAAGGCCAGAGAAGGAGACGGAAGGCGCGCTGAGACAGGAGACTTGCCGTGGTTTGCCTTGCGACTCAAGACGCACGTTTCGACTGGAAAAGCACAGCATGCTGGGTATGCGACATTCAACCCTGAGGTGCTGTAAAGGCCGGTGCCAACATGTCCGGCGCCATGTGTTTGGAGTCTCCATACTTTGCTCAACCTTTCTCACCCGCCCGCTTCCGGACAGTGGAGTCAGCGCACTGGCGGAGTCCGCGAGGGCTTTTCTGAGAGCTCGCAAGGTTTTGAATAGCCTTCATCTCAGAAGCATATGTTCAGGAATCGCAGAGGGGGGCTTGCCACTAAGAACCCTCTAAGAGGCAATGCCTTTTGTAAGAAGCCCGAATTCAATTAATTAATTGTGTAAGTGGATTTTGCAAGTAGCCTTGGGATTTGGCCAGAGCGGTCCCCTCTGTGACCGCTGCTAGGTATGCAATTCATGCTCACCTGAGGGTGCAGAGAGTAGCCCAAGTCAGATTGGGTTGGCGCAGGCTCTCATTGCCGGTAAGACACTGCTAATTCCC